GCGGATGACATCTGTTGAAGTAATGCGGAAAAAATTTATTTCATTTAAAAGTACCTCTATAAAATTCCCGATTTCTAGATGGTTCCATCCGCCCTTGGTTCTTCAAAAATGATAAACTCTTTTTTGCCCCAAACTCACATAATAAATAGATTATTATTATAGGATTTGTGGTGAATTCTTAACGTTTTATTAGAAGCTGAATATTTAAGAAAAATTATTATTTTAGAAGAAGGAAAGAAATAATTCCTATTGGTTTAAATTGTCGTTTGCATAGAAATTAAATACTTAGAACATAACTTATTCGAAATTTCATTTATAACGCATATGTAACTTTAAGTTGTGAACTAAAGCACAATTTCTTTTTATTGATGAGACGGATACTTTTTCGAGCTGTATCATGGAAAAATAAAATTGTTATTAAAATAGATAATATAACACACTTCAGAGCATACTGTAAAAATTTTTGTAAATACAAACTGGTTGACAAAATTCAACATTATCCCCATCAGTTTTTTTTTTTGAAAACTCACATCTACGTATGTTTTTATTTTTACATCAGTGGTTCCAATGTGCGCATATGTACTTATTTTTTACGCAATTTTTAGTTCTCTTTGTATTTGAAAAATACGCCAGTCACGTCAAAACTGTGGCAATTTTAATTAGAAATTTTTCGTAATTTTTTGGGTTAAATTGTATAAAAGTAACATGTTTAATTTAATACAGATTTTTTTTAATCTTTAAAATATCCAAAATACCTACTGAGTTATACATGTATTACAAAAATGGAACTCTGTGTGCACAGAGAATATAAAATTCGCAATTAAATTTGTCACTTGGATTTTTTTACCTTAATTTCTTTTTTATTTAATCTTACGATATATTTCCGAGCAATATGTGCTTAAGTCCAATTAAAAACAAGATACAAAGTTGTATTTAATCGATTTCTCTAATAAATGTAACTCTATTAGTATATAAATCTGTAGCTTTTCCCAGATCAAAAAACTTGTTACCGTTCCAATACAAATTTTTCACAAATACTTTCCAAAAGTTTCCAATAACATAAAATATATTCTAGTTTCAACAGTGAAAAATACCATGAATATTTGTACAAATTAAAGGAAATTGTAACCCGATAGCACCATTAATATGAAAGTAAAATGAAACTCACTTCGTATTAAAACATTTATCACAAATATATTGTTCCAAGTGGTAATAAATTAGTGTAAATTTGTCACAAGTAGCTTAAAATATCTTAAACGTTTACACCAGTTGCACGCATATTTACAACATTTCTAACAGCTTTATTCTGTCAAGAAAAATAATTTGTGAGTCGTGGCCGTGTTCATTCTAAATTTAAAAACTAATGCCTCCCATTAATAAAAAGTGATTGCTGTTTTGCATAAGGAAATAAACATTACCGTTTCTTCCCAAGCACCTGTATTCTTTGCAGCAGAATACTTTCTACGAGCATCTGCGGATAGGCAGATACATTTCAGACAGTCGGACCTATTTACATGATTTATTTTAATTTATGTCATTAATTTAGATTTTAGAATATGCATAAATATTGCACCTTAGGCCCTCCAGATAGTCTCATCGATCATCGCCGGACGAAATAGGAAATATAAGTCTTATTTCGGCTAGTTAATCAAATAAGCACCTGGTAAGTAGGCGGCAAAATTAGACACAATACGAAAGTCATTGAAATTAAAACGCGGTTCTTTGTAGTTTTGAAAGTATAATTTGCGTTATTGTGTTAATTTAATAAGTAAATAAAACTGTAACATTTTTTCCACTCTTGAGGAAACCTTCAAATTAATTGAATTTTCTAGCCGTGCTCGTTATGACAATTAAATAAATTTTAATTAAGGTTTCGTGATGACATAAGTGCTGCACAAAACAACAATTATAAGTAAGTTCTATATGGTGGTTTTTATAATTTTCCATTTACAGTAAGAGTTGGTGACGTTATTTGAATTGAGCGAGCAGTTGCATCGGTAGCACTATCATCGGTTCAAAGACCACCTATGCACACGTTTTTATAAACATCGTGGGTTTTCATGGAATAAACTAATAAAGAATTTATAGATTCCCTTTAGCTAAAGCCATTACTGTAAATCATAGAGCTAACTAAAATATAGTGGGGCTTTTATTATAGAGCTATAATTCTAGTTTCGTTCCAATAATTATATGTATAAAGCAGAAACTGTTAACCTCAAGTCGTCATAATTTCCTCAAGTAGTTTTCAAGTTTGAAAAGTTTGGAATTCTGGATTTCAATATTTATCCATTTTCCATATTTGTATACCGGTCCCATTTAGGCAAGTTTTTCATTAGTAATTAATTACGAACTGCATAAAGAACGAATTTAGTTGGGATTTGCTTAATTTATTGAAATGGCGTTTAATCAAATAAAGTATACGTGTAATATAAATAAATCATAACTATTAGAGAAAATCATTTAAATATTCAATCAATCACTTCATTATAGGAATTTATTGACAGAGAACTATTAATAACCAGTAATATCAAATGATTTATTCAAATTTTAGATTAGCATTAAACTGCTTAAATGTACGTTCTCATGTTAAATTCAGTGGATAAAATACCACAGCTTGTAAAAAATAGCGGCGTTAAAATTAATTTAGAATTTTGTACACGAATATCGAAGATAAATTGGGAAAGTGATTTGGTGATTAAAATTTTGAATTGGATACGTAACTAATGGCTGCCTGAAGTTTTGACAAATTTGATAATACACGGTGCAAAAAATTTTGACTTCAAGACACCTGTGGGAAATAAAACTTAGACCATAAAGTGGAATTTTAATCATAAAATCATCAGTTAAAAACAAAATTTAAAATGTTATTCTTATTTTTAAGTTTACTCATAAAAGTTGTTACCAAAGAATGACGTTTGTAGAATTAACTGTACCAATTGAAAATTTGCTTTAGAGATTAGGTTAAATTTATTTGTTGAACATCTTGGTTTTATATGGTTGTCGAATAATTTCTTAACTCGGTTACGCCTCTTCAAAAATTTTTTTTCAGTTTCACAAATTTAGACTAAATCCAACCTGAACGAGTAAAAAAATTCCCTAATAATCGCTTGAAAATTTAAATTTAGTATTTATGGACTCAAAGAGATATTTCACAATCATATTTTAACTGTGCTCTCAAATGGACACTTTTCCTCAGTATTCAAACCTTTCAAAAGTAAATCAAATTTGTTAAATGAAACTTCTTTAACAAAAAGTTAATTAAATATGTTCAATACAGATCATTTTCTAGTGTAATTGAGCGTAACTCCGTTATGGGTGGAACTCTTAAATTATAGTTAGATTTTTACCCATTTTCTCTGGATTAATTTATGGTATTTATCTTCAACTAACGGAGCTCTCTGAGCTTGACGGATAATAGCCTATATAACGCATTTTCGACTCCTTTGCCGCCTTGTTGAAATAAGAATTATAGTCAAACTGTCAAATACTATTTTAATGTCGTTACTAACAACAACATAAAAAAAATCTATGAAATAGAATTGACAAATATGTTCAAATACCAAATGTAACAAGTAGTAAACTAAAAAATTTATGACAGTAATACCAAAAATCAAAATGCTCAAATTTTCAAATTTGAAAATTGCGTTAATCAAGATAAATTAAATTTTTACAAAGACGCAGACAAAAATTCATTTCATATACAATCTACAAATTTAGCTTTGTATTTGAATATTTGGGCGGAGATTCGCTTGGTTTCACAGCCGACCCATTCCAAGGTAGTTGTCGGTGCGGCCAACGGGATTGTAGGGTACCTTCATTTTCTTAATGGGCAATGGACACTAATTTAACACATAGGTGGGCCCACAACATTTACACAATTATGCTTAAAATGTTATCAATAGGTTTAATTTAAATCTTCGACAAAACCCAAGAAATATTAAAAAATATAATCAATAAGATGAAGTTGTGTACACTATTAATTATTCTGAAAAACAAAATGTATTTCTGAAAAAAATCATTACTGACTAGTAAATTATATTCATTGGAGATTTAGAGGCGTTTAATTTATTATATTTTATTAAGTTAGGGGATATCGAGGCTAATTGACCCACAGGGTAATTTTCGTAGGTAAGTATTTTTTTCCAAACAATTTGTTCAAAAAATGGTCTACTAAATTACAAAAAAATCTTTAAATTAAAGCGACTGCATTTTTTGCCTTTGTATAAATTATTCTTAAAATAATGACTAAAGTGAAAAAATGTAAGCAACATCTATGTATGTACTTAAGCGAAAATTAAAAATCTATTTTCGCAATGAATTTTTTTATTTATTTTTGATTAATAATAATCAATAATAATAATAATAATAATACTAAGGTTGTATATATACCCTTGTTAATAATTTTGCAATGATTCTATTAGAGAAGTAATATGAATAAACTTCTATCGTATCTAATGTATGTAATATCTGTAAATATACCCGACGAAAAGTAATGAAAAATTTATGAAGATATGATTGACACGTAAAAAATTTTATCGCGGAGTTGTAAAACTGAGGAGAATAATATCATTCTGCGTTGATTTTCCTGCTGGTTTTATGAGGCGTCGGAATTGATTTTTTATTTTATTATTACCCAGCAGTACAACAGTAAAGGGGTGGAGCTAAAAATACATAAACTCTACTCCGTCCAAAACAAATATCTACTTGAAATGTACTAATATTTACTATACATAAATCGAAGCCATAAAATTTATGACTCTTTCGACTGACATTTGTGAACATTTATAATTAAGGTTGTATGAATAATGTGTGATATGTTAAGGTTAAAGTACGCAAGAATTTTTTTATCTGTTATTCGGCATGTGACATCTCGCACATGACAATAAGCATCCTTGACAACATTCCCAGAAAAAAATCGTGTCCAAATCCTTGCGAGTTCCGACTCCGGCCCTAACCCACCCGCTTTCCCGCACGTGTGTGCCTATTTCGAAAAACCTAACCTGTGGGCGAGAGCGGCATGGCCGTGGACAGGACGCTGGGCGCAGTGTTGGGCGCCGGCAGGCCGACGGAGTCCATCTTCCAGTTGACAATGGCGGATCGGGCGGCGGGAGCGACCGGAACGGGACAGCAGCCGGAAAGGCCAGGAACATTGGAAAAGTCGTTTCCGCTTCCCAACGCGTTTCCGTTGGAGATTAGCATCTTGTGCGCGCACTGTGGTCCATGGGTGCCTCCGCCAACACGAACTGCACTGTCAACCGCGTTCAAGTTCACTGCGCGCCAACAGAAACCTTGACAAGGCTCCCTAGGTTGAGAGGTTGAAGCTCATCGACTGCAAGCACAACACTGAATGAGTGCGCGGCTACCTGGCAGGTAAGCGGCGCTACCACGAGCTCGGTTGGCTACTTGTGCTCACACGATAGGCAGGCTTGAACCCTCCTGTGCTCTGCCCACTGCCTTTGGTTACCTTTCAGCTTACGCTCGGATTGCCTCCTGAGAGAGAGCAAAGCGCTGCAGGAACGCCGACAGACGGAGAACGAAAACATCATGGATTTATTGATGGATTGCCCATTGCGACTTACGAATGGCATATTTATTGACTGAGGGGCAACCCTTGAGCTAATCAAACGCTAATCCATGATGGTTCATTAATATGCGCACTGAGGCACAGTTTAATTGACCGGGACGTATGTCCAGTTGGACTTTTTGACAAAAATTTAGGATAAGTCGGTGAAAAATTCGGAATTGGACACGGCGCTGGTTTTAGATCAAAGGCTGCTTAATAACACCCTTTTTGATAGTCTTGATTAATGCTCAAGTTGTTTTATCAATAGGTACGAGGCGAACTATAGACAAAAGATTAATATTTATTCAAATCGAACACTCTGTAATTCTCCCTATAATTGATTAGTTGAGAATAATGTCGTACACGGGGAGCTTCACTCGAGTTTCCTGTTCTGTATTTTCTCATTGTAACCCAGTAAACTGTAGTTTTAAAATTAAAATATCCAATTTTAAATTAAAAACTGATTTTCTACTGTTCACTATTAAAATGACGAAAAAAAAAACAAAATCAGTTTACAAAGTAATTACAAAAAAGTAGATAATTGAAAATAAAAAATACCACAGCTGGTATTTTTTTTGTGCGAAAGCTTTTATTTACTAACAAAATTATATAACTTAGGCCTATTAAGCCCTCTCGGTTGACGTTTGGTGGTTGTCAAACGCTGAACAGAGGCGTATAAAAAATACTTTGTAATGAAAATTCAGTTAAATAACTGAGGTGTCTGAAAGGTCATGCACAGTGTTTATCGTATTTTCAACATTATGAAATTATTTTATCTCAGTATTAGTCAAGTGAGCCTTTAACAAATATATATTTTTTAATACAACCCTGATAATTAAGTAAGATTCAAAGGGGGACCTCTCATCTGTCACGGATGACGAGGATTTTACGGGAGAGGTTGTCCAAGCGTTGCTAAAATTTTATTACTATACAAAAATGTGGGAAGAATATTTATTTAAATATCTCTACCGAAGGTGATTTAAAAAATAATGTTTCTTGATTTTATTTAATTATATGTATTAGTATAACATTTTTAATTGCATTGGTGATCACTTTTTTAAATTTCATTTTGATTTTAAATGCTACTCATTTTACAACTGCGCGTAAAAAAAATGTTTTCAATAATTTTTATAAATGGCTTGAATGTGACTATAAACAGAATTTTAATGTTGTTTATAAAATCAGAAGAAACTGTATCGTTTGCTTTGTGTCTAGATAATTCAGCTAGAGTCTTCGGCTGAATATTTTCCTGAATACAACCCTGATATTTACGTAAGTAAATTTCGAAGTCGAACGCATTGTTTGTCGTAGAAGTTCAAGAATTGTTGTCCTAAATGACACTAGTAGGCTATATTTAAAAATTTTGTTAGGTTAGAACGATATTTTTTCAATATTCATTTTGATTTTAGAATTGCAATTGTAATTATGGCGATTTTTAAATATTCAGGTTTATATCATATTTAAGTTAGTTCAATTTTAAAATATTTCAAGAAAATCAGTCGAATTATCCCCATCAACAATCTGGTGAGGTCACCTCAAAATTTTGCATGGTAAATGTTACTTAAATTTTATAAAATAACATACTTCTATACTGGTGTTTTATGAATCCGCTTTGATGGTTTATCTAAGTCATCCAGATTTTCGTAAAAAATACAAAAATTTATCACTTCATCTCCTCCAAGAAATTGGTGCCGTCATCTCGAACCACTGCTGAATATTTTTAATTTTTTAACCGTCTATTTGTGTATTTTTGGAAGAAAATTCAAAATTTACTAAAATTTTGTTATCCTAGATACCGATACTAGGTGGTTATGAACATCATAATTCGCTAACCACAATTGTTGAAATATTTATTACAACAAAATTTTGCGATTCGCTGTAGAAACTACGTAACTACTTTTTTTGAAAATGTTAGGTTTTTATTACTCACTCAATTTCCCTTACCTTCCTAGGTCGTCATGTTAGTGTTTGCACTACATCTGTTCAAATATCAAAAAAGAATGATCTTTATTAACAAATTATATTGATTACATCTTCGGAATGAGGGGGGTTCTATTAAAACAACTATATCTAAATAAATTAAGTTGGGATGTTTTCACACAGGGCCGTACTCAAATTGCTTAGCACATAAGTGTTGAAGTACACTTGCTTCTACGAGATAATTGGGTCGTATATACGTGAGCACTGAGACGATTCTCAGGTGATTAAACTCTTAACCACAGACGACAAATAAATCAGGTGTGTCGACTATCATGTTCGTACTTGGGGGCCATAATTGTCGCAAGACCGGATCCGCAATGAAGTGTCATATTTAGGGTAGGTGAACCTCGACATAGCAATCGGATGGTAGCTGTTACGTCGTTAGATGCAAGACGATATATTGATACTTAAAAAGTACGTCCCTGGCGGGAGATTTTACCTGTTCCTGTTACAATGCAAAACACAAACACATTTTTGGTTTTTGTCACTCAGATCCCTTAATTCTACGTTTTCTGAACTAAAAAAAGTGAAGATTATAAAATAAATTATTATGTATTTTGTAGTTCTCTCGTCTTTTCCTTTTTCTTGACATTAGAGCATCCAGAATCTTATAACATTATATTAAAAATAATAATAATAATAATAATAATAATAATATACTAAATTTTAATAAATATCTAAGTAGGTACTATTAAAATAGTTATTTCCAACATACCAATGAATTGTTAAAAAAATTCAAATTCTCGAACAGTCTGATCATGTTAATCAGAGTAGATTCACACAACTAGATCAGAACTTTGCAAACGATGCAGGGGTAAATAAAATTTATCATTATTCATTATCTTTTGCTAAAATTTTACTAGTGATTTATTAAAAACCCGTGGAGAAATATACAAATTATAATTAATTAATTAGGTAGTAATCAGACGTAATTAAAGGCAAGTCTTCCTTTTGATTGCGTTAAGAGTAAATTATTTTTACGTCGACGAATCTTCTCTTGCTATTTAAAGTTTAATTAGGTAAGTAATTATATATTAAACAATATATAGTTTCCCTAGGTCTAATGCGGTTTTATGATGTGTAAAAAGATTACTACTACCGGTGATGGGATAGTCATTAATAAGGATTTAACGTTTACACACTGGGGTACTATCATTAAACCGAATTAGAACTGGGGAAACTATACAACAGACATTAGTTACAGTAAACTATGCTTGTTTGATGGTAAATCTGTATTTTACTACATCGAGATCATGCCAATTAACTTAATTCGTACTAATTATGACTAATTTTCCTAATTTCTCTAGTACCAATTTTTTCAAGAACATAAAGATATCCTGAAAATATGTCGAAGAAATTATAACAAACAGCATTATACCCAACGTTTTAATTAATTAAGTAGGTAAAATTTAGCTGTAATTAAAATCAAATCTTGCTTTTGGTTGAGTCTAAACTAATTTATCTTTACTAACTTTTTAAATTTTAATTAATTATTAAATAATATGGAACATTCGTATTTTTTGCTAGTTTCATTATTTTTTTTTTTTTGTAAAAACGTAGAGAAGTGCTGAAAATCAGTGGAAGAAATTATTGTATACATCATCATTCAAATTGGAATTAATTAAGAGGCAAGCCATACTTCTAATTGAAGTCGGAGTAATTATTTTACTAACGTCCACGAATCCTTCGATACCAATTAAATTTTAATTATTTTTTAGATAGCTAGCTATCAAATTATTAGTAATTAGTAATAATTAGTGAATTCTGTGTATTAATTTTAGTAATGTCTCTAAATAAAAAAATTAGCTTAAAAGATTGTTCAAAAATTCACAGAAAATTCTGGGTTATAGATTTCAACGAGCCGATTCGAAAAACATAACGTGTTTATGGTTTCGGAGCAAGATTTTGGAAATATTTGTCTGAAAGTCAAATTTTGAAAAAATTCTAAAAATTTACACATATCGATGCAGATTCTGAAGATGGTAGAGATTTTCTAAGAAAACGGAAAATAGCTTCTGGAATCTACAAAAAAATCGTTTAAGTAATTTTCGAAAATAGTCGAAAAATGGTCTAAAATTTCATATACCTACTTAGTACGTGAGCTTTTGGAAAAGTTGTCTAAAAATCCACAAAAAATTCAGTGATGTACATAGATCTAAACGTCCTAATTCGAAAATTGAAAAATATTGGGTGTTTATGGTCTCGGATCAATATTTTCGAAATATTTAGTCTGAAAGCCAAATCTTTTAAACACTCTAAAAACTGCCAATTTTTCTGGAAAAATGGTAGGAACTTTCGAAGAAATCAAGCCGAAAATAACCTCTGGAACTCGAAATCTAAAACCTTTAATTTGAGCTTAGAAGCCGTGATAGACTTCTTGCCGGTCATTTCGGCGTCTATAATAATACTAAGTGTGTACTTTCATATGAAATTAAATAAAAAATAAAGCAGTATAAGTTTGAGCACTCACTTCTGATATTTTTATTAAGGTTACTAATTTAGAAGAATTTGTCATCTTTTTCAGATCTGTGTATACATAGTCAAAACTAAGCTTTAATTATTAAGCATACTTACTTGAAATTGTACAGAAAGAGTAATGAATAAACTGTTGTATTTAATTATGCAACTGTTACAGATCGTAAATTTGAGAAATTAATTCATATTTTTATTTAAAATTATTTTCTCCAGTATTTCTGCTATGTTGTTGTTAACATTATTGTAATTAACATAACTCCACGTTGTAGAACTTCACTACATCCCATTCCAATTGAATGAAATAATTTAAAAGGTATTCCATTATTCTGCTTGATATTTTGC